AAAAAAAAAAAAAAAAATATTATGGTACCAAACACACTCATAGTCATAGACTACTTGTACTCGGATAATAATATACATGGTAACGCTAGTTTTACATGACACAATCACAGAACAATATACATACTCTTGCCGATTGCTTCATACAGTAATGTTATAGAGCCAATGCTTGGCTCCCTTATGGAGCCAACACCCAATTAAATTGCTCCATGTGGGGATGTGCTGCATAGAGCCCATGTGGGACATCCCCACATAGAGCAATTTAATTGGATGTTGGCTCCATAAGTGAGCCAACCATTGGCTCTATAGCATTTCTCTTGCTTCATAATACATTAAACACGAATCAATCATAAACGGCCGGCGACAACCTTGGCCGGAGCACGACTTCAAGCGGAGCATCTTTCACATTCATCGCACCCAAACTCCCCTTCATATCAACACCCTCACCCGAACCCGTTTCGATATCAAAAGCATGCAATAAACCCCCAAGCGTAAGAACCATAAACTGAATCGAAAAGGCAATCCCGGGGCAAATCCTCCGGCCACCCCCAAAAGGGAGCAGCTCAAAGTGCTGCCCCCGAACATCAATCTCTTTGTGGGCCCCCGAGAGGAACCTCTCGGGCCTGAACTGAAGTGGGTCGGCCCATATGCGAGGGTCCCGGTGGAGCTTCCATGCGTTGATGATGAGTCGCGTCCCAGCTGGGATGCGGTAGCCTGCTACGTGGCAGTCCTCTGCTGACTCGCGGGGAGGGAGAAGTGCAGCTGGCGGGTAGAGGCGTAGGGTTTCTTTGATTATGGCTAGGATGTACACTAGGCTTTCGGTGTCTGATGCTTTCACGAGTCTTTTTGGGCTGACGTGAAGGTCGAGTTCTTGTTGGGCTTTTCGAATGGTGTGTCGGTTATTGAGCAGTAGAGAAAGGGCCCATGTGAGGGTTGTTGTCATTGTATCGGTTCCTCCTAACAACATCGCCTGCGAAAGACGTTTTTTTTTTTTTATAAATAAATTTCGGTTGTGAAATACCATAGTTAGTTTCCTTTGGGAGTTAAACCACCCTTTATCCCAAACACGGATTAGTTACACGACATTGTTCAATGTATAAACGGCAATAGAATCTCTGCACGACACAAAAAGAAATTACGACGTACTAAGGTCCCCTACCGAACGCTGTTAGCATCCATGGCCCGAAACATGACACTCTTTTCCCCTGTCTCACCACAGAACACACTAACCAACCAAACGACAAGAAACAAGAAAACCACAAAATCACATTATACTTACTCTCTTGATAACACATAACTCTAGCAATGACAAATAAACAAGAAAACCACAAAATCACACCATACTTATTCTCTTGACACACATAACTCTAAGCAAAATGTACCTGGCAAGTTGCTTTAGTAATGGTATCGGCACTGTACTCCGGGAACTGCCGCGCCACCTCATCTGCAACAGCCGTCATTTCGGCCATGAAACTATTGTCAATCGTCCCACGTCTCTTCTGGCCATCCAACCAAGCTTGCAGCAAACAATCCATGCCCTGCCCCGTCTTCTTAAACGATTCGTTCGTTCCCCAAAATCGATCCAGCCACTCGAGGGACGGGACCACATCAGTTACCGTGACCTCGTTCATTTTCCGAAAAAACCCTCTAATCCCTTCTCTCAGCTTCTCCCCTTTTGCTCCATCAATCTTCTCATCATTCCTATTACTGTTGAAAATAATCCGCAGCATGAGGCCTATGGTCATGTCCCCAAGAATCTGCTTCATTTCAAGACATCCTTGTTGTCCTCGCAGTTTTCTGACCATCCTCGCTATCTCCGTCTCGAATAGGTGCCTAAAGGTGGAAACTTTAAGGCCGGAGAGAAGGCTGACGGCGGAGATCTTCCTCATCTCGCGCCAATAGGGCCCGTATTGGCTGAATCCGAACATGGCGAAGTTGTAGCACATGTGCTCGATGGCGGCTGTCCTGGGGCGGTTGGAAAAAACGACGTCGTTTGTGGTGAAGCACTCTTTGGCGGCCTCCCAGCTGCTGACGATCAGGGCCCGGTAGACACCGAGACGAATGGTGAAGACCGGTCCGTACTTGTCCGCCATGGCCGAGAGGACGATGTGGGGGAGCTCGGGCCCCGAGAGGAGGCGCATGTGGCCGATTACGGGCCATCCGCCGTCGGCTTCTGGGGGCGAGAAGCTTTTGGTGGCGTTCTTGAGGTTTCTTGCGCCGGGAATTAAAAGGGCGGCGAGCGTGACGGCGGCGGCTGCGAGCAGCCACATGAAGACGATTGCTATATCCATGGCGAGAAAATATCAGTGGACACCTCTTAAGCCTTTTTTTTTTTTTCTTTATGAAATTAGTCTTGTGTAGGTGGTGGAAATATGACCACGGTTTGAAACCGGCCATAATATAAATTATTTTACATTTTACACTATAGCCTCTCACGATGTTTAGTTCAATTCTGTCTTGGTTGTAAACAACCAACTTACATTTTACAAGATATCGAGAATGTAAAATAAATGAACTATGTTCGCATACATATAGTGTAACACCCCGCTTAATTATTTCTAGAATTTATAAAAAATCAGAGTAAAATTTTTGCTTTTTATTTTCGAAAAACTCTTAAACTTTATTTTCGAAAAATACTCATTCTAACTTGCGGGATGCTACTAACTTAAACTCTTTCTCATGCAGACGTAAATAAATACATGCAACCTAATCAAATCCGTTATATAAATGTACATCGGAGATAAAGGCATTATACATGCATAAGTCTGATAATCTCATAATACATACTAAGTCTGAAATGAGCGGAAGCTGAAACATAATGAGTCTACGTATAGTAATAATAGTACATGTTCAATAAATGACATGCAGATGCGTTACAAAAAGACAGCTAATGACCACGACTGCCACTGAAATCTCACGCGCCACGCGCCGCTCCGTCACC